TGGGGGGCTCGCTCGTGACGGACGGCCGCTTCCCCCACTCCTTGGCCTTGTCGGCCGAACAACACGCCGACAGCGCTTCCTCAGTGGCAGACCGACCCCAGATAGGGACCGCCCCCCCGCTAGAGCCGAGTCGGGCTGATCTATGGCCAGGCCGGACGCTACTCAGCGTCCTTCCGCCAACCCGGCGGAGGAACGAGGAGATCCCGCCCCTGCAACGTTGCTAGTCGAGGAGATAGAGAGGAGAGCGCTGGGAGGGGCTGGTGGAGATGTCAGTCACTCCACCCCCTACCCTGCTGTCAGGCTCAGTTGCAGGGAAGTGAGTACGTGAGGAGCGGCACAGCTGCAAGCAGGGGGGCTGCAGGGCGCAGCGCACCAATGGGGCAGGGACCCGAGGGCTGTTCCCTAGGGAGAGGGAGGGGCTGATACTGGACTACACCTCTCCCCCTCCTCGCCTCAGCCCCACCCTTCGTGCAGATATGAACATGTAGAGCTGAGGGCCTGTTCCTGGTACAAGACAAATTACTGCACCCCGCTGCATAGAATTATTGCACACCTGGGCAGAGTGCCCATATAAAACTACCTACCATGCACCATCACCTGCTACTCTACCACCCCTGCCTACAATTAAAATTTGCTGTTCAGGAATAACTACAACTTTTTCAGTCATTAGAAGTACTTACTTATAGGATTTGTGCTTTTCCTCCACAGTAGCACTGCAGGAAAAGTAATTTTTAACTAGATTAAAGACCTGCATAGTGTAGCTTTTGTAATAAATATTGCCTACTCCCTTCTATTTGTATTGAGCTTATTCTTTATGGGCTGGGTTGAACTCTCTCCTGAGACAGTATCTTCTACAATCAAGCTCAGTCCACAACACAATTTTTTTTTACTATTTCTATTATGTTGCTCCAACCCCTAGAACAGGGTTTCCCAAATCTATGGGTCACCATTACATTTCAAAAGGGTCACCCAGTGTCTCTCCAAGTGGCTCTGTCCTCCCTCCTCCCCCCATTTTTTAATTGCCTCAGGTCACCAAGTCTTCTTGAATTGTCAAAATGGGTCCTCATCTGGAAAAGGTTGGGAACCACTCCCCTAGAATATATGACTAGGAGCATGTGCTCTCTTCTCCCCCCCCCCAAACCACCACCACATTAATTTAAAATTTCTGAGATGCATTATAACTGATGCTTGAAGTTCTGCTTTAAGAAAACCCACATCATTGTCTATCATACAATACAGATACAAATACCTCACAGTACTTTCCTCCCCCCTCTTATTGACAAGATAGTTAATTGTCTGGGTACTGCATTCTATAAAGGCGTAGTTTATACTAACCCCCACCAGTCATCTAATCTACATGATTTCAGCTACATAAATAACAAAGCAGTAGTTGACACACTTACCACAGCGTCTTGTGTGCAGTAAGATTGGCAGCAGCTGCTCTCCCATCAACGCCAACCACTCTTCTCATCCTGGTAGAGTACTGGCATTAACAGGAGAGCACTCAGAGACTGACTTATCACATCTAAGCAGACAGTAATGGTAATAGTACTTCCCCCTTGGCCTTGCAGATGTTATGCAATACACAGCATGCAGTAACAGGAAGATCTTTCTTGCTGAGACCAAGCCTTGTGATGAGACACATGCACCTACTCTTCAGTTTTCCAAACACTCCACACCCATCTTGCTCCTGCTCAGGCAATACTTAAATTTCTTTCTTTAAGGTGCCCAGTGTATTGAGCATACGGTTGAATACCAGAGGGGGGAAAAAAAAAAAAAAATCAACTGATAATTGTAATCTCATTATAGAATCAATAGGTTGGTCTGGAGGAAATCAACTCTGCTTTGGGCTCAGACAAAGGTCTCTATTCCTACTGAAAAAAAGCACCACACCCTGCAGATTTTCCAGTACCAACCTGATCATCATAGTCCAACAGGAATTGCCACCCATTTATTTTCTGGCATGGCAGCTTTTGAAGTGTCTAGGCACTGCATTGCTGGGGTGAGCTTGGCACAGAACTCCAGAATATGAACTTCTGCATCCAAAAGTTGTGGAACCACTGCTGATGATCCCACATTTGAATCATGATCTGGTCTCATGCCTCTCTTCCAAAGCAAACACTCCACTGCGTGCTCTCGCTTAGTGAAGACGTGGAGCAGCTAGTCAGCTTCATTCACTGTTTATTATACCTTCATCCTCAGTATCCCTGCTAAGTCCAGCTGCTGTGTCCACAAATAGAGAATCACTGTCCCCATATTTGTGCTGAATATGTGTTTTTAGCAGCAAGATGGAAAAAAATGGTGTTAAAATGTGCATTGTATGGAACAGACCTCAGTCTCAGTTCCCTGAAAGTTCCACAGCAGACAGCATAGTAACACTGCAAAAAAATTAAAAGGTAAAGTGTTAGATGGCAGCACAGACACACCAGGATGGCTACCTTGTACAATGGGAGGTATGAGACCAGATCATGACCAGGATGTCTTTAGGTCAAGGGTTGGGAACCTCTCCTCCACCTCCCCATCAGGGGGTCACTGATCCACAGGGGAAAACCATAACACCCCACAAATCACAAGCCATACTCAGCTCAGATCAGAGGCTTTTGGCTTCCCCTGCTTAGAGGCAAGCCAATGCTCACGGCTCTGTGAAGACTCAGGGTGGGGCCAGAAATGAAGGTTTTAGGTGGTGAAAGCTCCAGATAGAGGTACATGCAAGGGTGCACCAAGCTGGAGCCACAGGGTTTGGAATGAGTGGGTACAGAGCTGGGGCAGGAAGTGTGGGGGTTGAGAGAGAATTAGGATATAGGAGGGAGTTCCAACCTGGGGCTAGGGATGTAGGGTGGGGATGGGGCACAGGGGCAGTTCTGATCCGGGATTAGGCTGCAGGTGGGGATGTGGGGTGGCAGGGTTCTGACCTGGAACAAGGGGTTCAAAGTGCAGGCAGAGCTTACCTGAGGTGGCTTCCAGTCAGCAGCACAGCAGGGCTAAAGTAGGCTCCCTGCCTCCCTGGTCCTGCATTGCTCCCAGAAGTGGCTGCCATCTGACCACTAGGCAGAGGATTCTGGCCAATGGGCATTGTGGAGCCACAATCGGGGATAGCACAGAGTCCTTGATCTCCCCTGCGTCAGGAATACATACTGGGGCTTCAAGCCCATAGTGCAGAAAATTGCCATGGGCGAGTTAACCAAAAGAAGTTAACCTGCAAATCAGAGGTTCCCCACCACTACTTTAGATGATACAATCAGCTACCATGAGGACACTGCAGTGGCAAGAGGCAGCCAGATAGAAACACAGACTTGCCAGCAGCAGTATGCCAACAACTTTTCTAGTCAAAACATTGACTCTACAAGACCCTCCTGCCCCTTGCAGTAACATCAGTAAAACAATTTCAGCCCCATAGCCCAGGTTGTATGAGCTTGAGTCAATGGATCCAGGCTCTGAAATGCCATAACAGGGATTTTTCTTTGCAGTGTAGACAATCTATGATTTCCAGTTAATTGGCATGCTCTGGCAATAAAGCAGGAATTTAGCCAGCACTCCTGACAATTCTCCCTTCCCCTCCCTCCCTCCAGAGGGCACAGTAGCCTCCCTCTCAGCCATCCACTACATATTGGTTTTTTGGAGGGGAGAAAGGAAAGTTGTTAAATGAAGACAGGTGCCAGAAGGAAGTTCCTCAAATGCAAACAAGAAACCTTTAATTGGAATAAGGCATCTAAAAGATATGAAACATTCTTCTGTACATTTTCCAACAGCCCTAAACTGCATAATGTTCATCTTCTTCAACTGAAGACAGAGCTGGGCACAATACTTCCTGTGGGCCAGATATGAGCCCGTCTGTGGCTCTCCTTGGCAGGAGGGGGGGGCCCCCCGACACAAATTGGCCTGGGGGCAGGAAAGCATGCGAAGGCTCCTCTCCCTCCACCCTGGGGTATGCCGTGCATAGAGGGAACCACCAGCTGTCAAAGCAGCTGATGGTTCCCTCTAGGCACCCCATGACCCTGGCAGGGGGCAAGAAACTTTGCATGCTCCCTCACACCCTAGCCCACTCTCAGCTGCGATTAGTCATCTGGGAGTGGGGGCATGCAAGCAAAGTCTCTGCCCCTCCAGGGAAGCATGGCCCTGAGCAGCACATGTTAGCAACCCATGTTTCAAGAGGGAGCCTGCTTCAGGTACCCTGATGGGCTGCTGGTCAGGAGCTACCTAAGGTAAGTGACTCCCCACAAGCCTGCCTCTGACACCTCAGCCCCTGCTTCTTATACCCCCAACCCCACCTGCTTCCTAACGCCCTGCACCAGTTCACCACCTACTCCTGCCCTAGGTCACCACCCAAATCCTCTGAACGCACATTATCCAAGGTCCCAATTCCCTCCAAAACTCTGCACCCCCCTGCTACCCTCTTCCCCCCCAGATCAAATTAACTCCCGCCACCCCTACTCCCTCCCAGGCTCTGCACCCCAATCCTCTGCTCCAGGTCACAACCCCCTTCACCTAAACTCCCTCTCCTGCACCCCAATCTCCTACCACAAGTTCCCTTCTGCACCCAACCTCCATTCCAAACCTCTCACCCCCTCCATAGAGAAGTGCCTCCCCATTTGCCCACCCTGATATAAGAGGAAAACATTTTAACAGAGCTACATCTGCAGTAATATTTTTGCATAATGTGTGCACCAAAAGAGAAGAGAAATATAGTCAACTTTTCTTCACTAAACACAGGATTGTAACAAGATAATTTTGTTTTTCACCTAGTCTATAATAGTTCTTATAGATTCAACGCAATAGCTTTCAAAGATATCTTAACTTACTGTTACCTGGACAAAAATTGAGACAGAAGTAGAAATCTTAATAAGATATGTATAATAAATCACCAGTACAATCCTTGTTGGCTTTAACTAAAGCATTAGAGTAGAAAGCTTTCAAAATTCAGATTTTTACCCTTTTACCCTATAGACCTAGGCTGCGATTTTAAATTAATCTCTGCATTGAAACCTTTTCACAATCTCAAAACCAAAAGAGACAAAGAAAAAGGAAAACATTTTAATCTGAAGAGATTTATTTTGAGAACTTCAACTTGCACGTAGTACAAAAGTTGACAAATTCAGCAAAAACCTATAAAAACGTTTTTCCTAACATATTAACATTATAATTTTTAAAGGGTAAGAGTTAAAAAACAGCATTTGTTCCAGTCTGTGTGCAGTAAAGTGTAAATTAAAAAGTCCCTGGTATGTCGAGGTATTAAACTGCTAGCTTTGGTACTGTTAGGAAAAGACATTCCGTTCACAAAACTAATGTGTCCTGGACTCATGTACAATCAGAAGATGTTTAATTTAAAAAAAAAAATCAGAATCTTATTCTTCATTTCCAGGTAGAAATACAAGAAAACCAAGTAAATGCATGTTATGGTGATACACCTAGCATCAGGAAAAAACCTTAAAGTTTGCAACTCCACACTAATGACTTATAGCTACAGTGTTATGTTTTACCCAAAAGAAATCCGGCTGGCAATTTAAACATTTCAGTGCTTAAAAAGATTGGCAATTCAGACCCCTGTCTTTCCCAAAAAGGACCAAAGGCACTTAAAAATGGCTTTAGTATGTTCTACTATGTCATTCTGGATAGAAGACAGCACCTGGCTGAACAAATAGTTCCCTAAGTAAGAGACAAGTCCAACTGAGGTAGTAGTTCTTATTGCCCCAACTACTTGGCTAATGCATGAAGGCTTTTTGTATAAAAAACTGGTGGGGAATGGCTTTTAATAAAATTTGATACAAGCACAAGGGAAGGGAAAGGTTATCAAAAAATAACCTGGTCACACGTCAAAAGCCAGGAACCATCTTGTACAACTGGAGCATCAAAATGCTGCCATGGAGATGCCCAGATCTACTTTTATGGCCAAATCCAAGACTTCATAAAGATTGTTCTAAGCAAATAAGCCATTTTCTGAATAAAAAAATAAAGGGAACATTGAGAACTTTATCATGACCTTTAGCAGCCTTACCGGAAGCAGTTTGTAATTCCATTAAAAAAAAATAAAAAAAGACTGTGCTGAAGAACGGCAGGTTTTAGAAAAAAAATGAACGCAAAAGTCCAACATTTAAACAAAAACAAAAAACCCACAAACATACAAAAAATTTTGCAAAGTTTATAGATTTTAACAAGGAAGACTTAAAACTTTATAGGGGAAAGGAGACTATTTCTTTAAATTAAGCCCACTGAAAATCCATTAACAATTTTAAACAAAGGAAGTTACAAGTGCTTTACAAAATCACCGTCCGTTGCCATAACCGGGGAAGAGCTGAGTTAGGAGAGCCTGCAGTGTTTCGTTCACCTGCATAGTATAATTTTTGCCAAGATCATAGCGACAAGCTGGACAGCTATACACATCTGCTTTGAAGGATCGATCCAAACAGTCCTGAGAGAGAAAAGAAACAGGAAAGAGATTAAGTTGCAGATCTTGGCTGATTTACATGGCCCTAATTGGGCAGAAGAGAAGAAATGCATGAAGTTAATTCACTTGACAAAAGCCCAGACTGAGCCAGGACAACTCAGCAGTGGCGAGACAATGGAAGTATCTGCATGTTTTCTCCTATAAAGAAATTTAGTCAAGCAGAAATACACAATATGAATTGTTTAAATATACGATTAGACTACTGATGAGCAAAAGCTCAGCAGTTACTAAGAACAGCCACTCTCATTGTAGGAGATGGCTCACAATCGTCGTATTCATAAGTCTGTCAATAGTTAAAGTGGGGACACGAGGTTGGTGAGACAGTATCTTTCTCCCTCTAATATCCTGGTACCAACAACACTGCATATGATACTTAAGTTGACTGGCAAGCTTACTCAACCAACATCTTTTGCTTTCTCAATCAGATACTGGCAGGACAGCACAGCAGACAGTCCATTATAGGCACTTCTATGTCTCAGAACATTAATCAAGTCACCGTTATTCATGTGACCTTAATTAGGACAGAAAGACACCTTGATTTGCCTATGGAGAGAACTATTACACAGTTGTCAGACCATAATAAAAGGCTGTAGAATAGTGGTGTCCAACCACATCTGAAGCAGAAGTCATTATAGTGGCTACTGCTATAGCAAACTAGCCATACTCAACCAGCCAAATAGTCACAGGTGGCTAGCGTGTCTGACACCATGGTAGTAGAGATTTATTTTATTTTATTTTGGATAGGCAAGTACACAGGTTTCTTAATGGGCAACACCACACATATCCTGGCTACTCACCTTGCACACGTTATGTTGGCACACTGTTGTGACTGGCCTAAATACCACCTCCTGACAGCAAATACACAGGAAGGTTTCTTCCACTTTATTCAGGAATTTCTGCAAGAAAAAAAAATACACAGTCATTCCATTGGTATTGCTCTCCAAACATGCAGCACAACCCAAATGACTGCACATTTGGAGAGCAACAGAACTACAAAATGCAAGAGAACTTTTCAAATAAAAATTAAAGCAGAGTATTCTGTAGAATTAAGAGAAAGAAACCTAAAATTACAACAGGTTATTCCAATCAGACTATTTAGTATTCATGTTCTGAGGATTTCCAGGCAACTAAACAGACACTGACATAACTGAACAGAATCAGTTTCCAGAAATTATTCTTGTCTGAAGACCTGAGACCATTGGTTCTCAACCTTTTTTATGCTGCAGACCAGGAGCGTACTGGCAATCAAAACAGGCCCAGGAAATGGGTTGAGAAGCCCCCCCCCCCACAACGTCACCCCTGCATTCCCCTCAGTGTTCGGCACACGGCACAGGTGGCGGGTTGGGCTCTGCATGCCGCATACAGCGCGGATGCGGAGCCACTTGGAGTGAAGGGCAACGGCGTGCGGACACAATGACCCACCGGGAAATTCCCGGTATCCCGCCGGGCCAGTCCACCCCTGCTGCAAACCAGCAAATCCATTCACTAACTTTTGGTAGACTGGCAACATTTGCCTATTCATTATGCAAATAAATGTTACCATCTGCCTAGCCCCAACCCAGCCCCTTGCTCCCCAGTGCCTAGCACCCTTTGACTTTAACCCCTACAGCCCTTGCCAACATCTTCTTGCCCCATGACCCCACTATGCCCTTACCCAAAACCCCTTTGCCCACCCTCCCACCTGCCAAGAGCAAGGGTGCCCCCTCTAGGGAGTGTGGCCATTACTGCCACACGGGCAGGGGGGAGCAGCCCTCCTCCTTCACAACCCTCCCTCCCCAAGCGCCTCTTGAGCACCCAGAAAGGGGGGGGGGGGGGACAGAAGAGTGCAGAACTCCAGCTGGCCGCCATTACCAAGAGGAACACCTCCTGCTCCCACCTGAGCCCCAGAGACACTGCTAGCAAAAGCGGCCGCATAGGTGGCCATGAGGAGTAGAGCCCTGGGAAGGCGCCTCCTGCTCCGCCTTCTCCTGCCTGTGCCTCAATCTCAGCACTGCCACCAGCAAAAGCAGTCACATGGGCAGGGGGAGCAACCATTGGCAGCATACATAATTCCCTACCCAAGCATGGAGGGAGGGAGAGAGAGACCTCCTGCCATCACCTGAGCTACCACGGCTGCCAGAGCTGAGCTGCTGCGAACAGCCAGCTCGAGCTCCTGCAGCCACCACAGCCCAACAGTTCACAGACCACTGGCAGTTGGGAACCACTAAGACCTACACAATTCAGTGCACAGCAATCCTGGCTGCAGTGTCCTGAATGAGCTTTGCTGACTCAAAGGAATGTTTCCCGTGAAATTCAGTGAGACTATTCCCCTGTAAGGAGTGAGGTCAAGAGGCTCATGTCTAAAGACCTACTACTACAGGTTCTGGGATGAGGAATCTTGTACTTACTGGTCCATCCTTGAGAGCTTCTAGTACTTCATTCCATAATTTTTCATTGGATTCATCCTCTTTAATAAGGGTCTTTTGCTGGGATGTCAGCTTGTATGGCTCAACTTTAGTCTTCTTTGGAGTCCCTCTAGGAGAGCTGGGAAACTTCATCTCATCACCTAAAAGAGCATGTAAACCTTTTTAAAGACAAAAATATTCAGCTTGTTAAAGCACTAAGAGCTACAGAAAGATTGCCACCTTCACTTTCCTAT